ATAAAGTTAAATCTAGCTTATTTTCATAAAATGAAATTGTAAGATAAGGATTATCTCCCCTTATATAATATATTAACGTAATCTTTAATCAATATAAAATCTCCGACAAGAACTGGTTATAGTAGGTGGAGGGTGGTGTTGTTATACTTGAATTGGAGTTGAATGACCAACCAGAATATGATTGCAAGACCAACAATGACTACTAGTGCAACCAAAATCTTCCACAACATTCCGAAGTGCAGCTTCTTCAAGTTTAGAAGTGATTGTTCTGCAGCAGATTTTGAGGAAGTTTTCTTAAATCAATATTGTGAAAGGTTTTTAATTTTATATTTTCGGATGAAGAATTCTGAAACAGTTAAAACCAATCACACTGTAATGTATTTCGGATGATGAATATATTCTTCATAATACTTCTAAAATTTATAATACTGAGGTTTGTAATATAACTTCATATTATATTTTCCAAAAATATAAAAGTTATAAGAGATTATTTTCGTCTATAAAAGAATTTATAGAGATACAGGAAGAATTGACACAATGTCTTGATGATGATAACATTTCTCCTCCAACCAAACCAACATATATGCACAGACAGGCTGAAAAGAAAAGAAAATAAAGGGACTTAGTAGAGCTGAGGTACCCTTTTAAGGTTCAAATACATTTGTCCTATACACGACTGACAAGTTTTATTGGCTTTTGCAATAACAGCAAATTCTGATACGACATTTACAAAATCTTGCATTCATAAATCTGCATAAATGGTGTAGGTAGCTGCAGTGAGTAGCTTAGGTGTGTAGCTTTTCACTTGAACAAGTAGTTGAATTTTTGTACGAGACATGAATGCAAGAAATGTTTCTTGGCATAACTAACAGCAAAAGAATGCAGATGGTATTTACTTTGCAAGTTTGATATCTGGATTTCTCATAGTTTTGAGCCACATGTCAGCAACTATACGTGAAGAAATGCTCCACAACAGTTCTTGTTCCTTTGATGATGTTTGCTTCCCTTTCTTCCCTGCCTTTCCCAACCCATATGCAACCAACCACTGCATTGCAGTAAGTCTTTGCTTCCCACTGTCCCATGCATTCTTCTTTATGGTACTCTCCAACTTGAAACCCCCCACATGCATGCTTGTCACCTTGAACCTTTTCTCCTCCTCATTCCCCTTTGTGTCAGTACTTGTTGCATGAATCAGCACAATCACAGGTCCCCCAACTTCTTCATAGCGTCTCAGTGGATCCCTCAATTGGGCAACTAACAAGAGTGTCACCTTTTCTGGTTCACCATCAGATCCTGCAGTACTTTTGTTGTAACTTTGGTCTCTGATCCATTCTTCAAGTGGAATAACTGAAGCCAAAAGATCTTTTCCACCATCTCCTTTCTTTGCAGAAATATCAAATGGGGCTTCTTCATCGGCCATGTCAGCTTGAATTTTCAATGCTTCAACTGTCATGGACTCAACCTTTTGCATTGCAAACGCCAGAAGCTTCTCTGCAGTGAGCGGCTCCTCCTCAACATTCCAAAGTCCTGTGGCTATTCTCTCTTTCCTTCCTGAGCTCATGGCACTTCCAATGCTTCTCAAGGAAGAAACTATCCGAGCAGCACTGGAGCTGGCTCCTTCCTTGTTTCTTCCTTGTATGATGGCATTAGCAATGCCTTCAAAAGCAACCTGTTCTGCAGTTTTGCCTATTATTTCATCTATGGGCATTAAGGCCAAAACCTTGGAGCTGAGTTCTTCAAAGCCAATCCCTGCCAATTTCTGAAACAACTCAAACCCTGTCAAGGATTGATGTGATGCTAGCACGTAAGACCTTGACATCTGCATGGCTAGCTTCGGAGTATCTTTTCTGGCCACAGCAATGTCCAGAGGGTTCATGGAAGTCAAGTAGCCTCCATCCCTTGTTTGAACTACACAACCCAATCCCTTTCCAAGGTCAGGAAGATACACTTTGGATTCTCCATCTTCAGCAGAAGAATCATCGTGTCCTTCAAGATGAAGAGGCGGAATTTCAGGTTGATCGAATGAGTAAATACTGTTGTCTTGATCCTCAAGCATCTGAAGAAACTCCCTTGTCACAGTTTCTTCATCTGCATCTAGCCTCTGTGGTTCTGTCTCTTCCTCTATTTTTGTAAACTTATCATCTTCTCCCATCATAGACTCAAGAGCTTTTATCTGCTGAGCAATTGAATCAAGCTCGCTCAATCTAGTCAGGTGTACATGATCAAGTACCACTTCCTTGACAACTTCACTGGAAGCTGATTCCTCTTGTACAGGTTCCTCAGATTCTTCTTCCACATTTCCTTCCTTCTCTTGAACCTCTACTCCTTTATCCACAACCTCGAAATCTGGAAGTTCAAAATCCTCCACCTGTTCCTTACTACGTTCATCAACTTTCTGTGCAGAGGAAGAGGAATCCTGAACCGGGTTTGGATCATCAAGGTTCAAATCATCCATTCCTTGAATATCCTCTCCTATTCTCGATTGTGAAGGAGTCCATGCATCATTTCTATTTGCCATTCTAGGACTAGACATGCTGAATGATGTCTTGGATTGTTTACGAGCAAAGGAAGAGAAACTACCAAGCTTTCCAGAGCTGGACTTTGAATTGTCCACTTGATTATTGTATATATCAATTCCTCCCTCTTTCTCCATGATCTGGAAACCCAGTTTGAGAACAAGTTCTCCTCCTTTTGCCTTCCCAGATAGGCCAAAGCTTGTGTCCCATTGCTTCACCCGGGTGCCTTGTTGGTTTTTCTCAATGGATTCTCTTATCAGCTCACTCAAGTCCACTGAGCTTCTTCCAAAATCTAGCTCCTTAGCATCAACAGCAAAAAGGTATATCCAAAAGGGGCGTGGCTCAAATTTGATCTGCTTTCCAGTGCCTTGGTTGGAGGTGTGATAAACATGGCACCTGATGAAAAGGGTCTCTTCAAAATCTGCAGCTCCTTGTGCAACCCTTGATGGCATTGTCTTAACAGCACCATCCTTTGTTTCCTTTTTTCTAACACAAACGGATAGTCGAAGTCCATTCATGGAAGAAGGAAGGCCTTGAGCTGTGACCACTTCAACAGAAAACAAACAGCTAAGTTTCTGCATTCCAATGTGAGATAAAGCCCGCATAGGCTTCCACTTCCAAATCCCTTTCTTATCACTGTCTGAAGGAGTTTTTGATATGTCATCAAGCTTTTTGGCTTCTGCCTTGGCAGTAGCATCGTCAGGCTTTGGTCTTGATCGCCATGGGGACATGGACATGCGCCGCAGCCGACCTCTGTTGCTGCCTCCATCATCATCTTTGGCATCTTCAACAGGCGGAGCTGAATTTCTTGGCAGCACAAGAGAGGCTGTTCTTCTGGTTGTGGTGGTGTGCTGTTTGTAAAGGGATTCACTCAAAGCCTCTAGTTCTTCAAGAAGTTGTGCATTGGGGTTGCTCTTGGCATCTGCCATTACTAGTTAGTGAAGAAAGAGTTGCTGAAATGAATGGTGATGATGATGTTTAATAAGATAAGATGCCTACATAGTTGGAAGGACCATGCAGTTTATATGATGATGATGGCTACTTCTTTCTGAACCAAGAAAATAGGATGAATTGTTTGTGGAGGATAGAGGATGAACGGTGTCATTGCATTGTGGCCTGACGAGTAAGACAATTTTGACAATGGCTTTCTAATAGACAAAATGGTCCCAGAGAATTTAATGTTGCTTTGTCCTCATTGTTCGCAAGTGCCAAGTGGCAAGTGACAGGCTTGTTGTTCAGAAAGTGAAACTTACCCTGCAATTTCGTAAGGGAGTTGAGCAAATCTGACCAATTATGAAGTAAAAACGTTGCAGCGTGGAGATAAGGAACATTTTCTGGTATCTTCTTTTCATTTCTTTCAGGAAGAACTCAATGATTATTTTTGTTTTTGACCACGTTTTCTTGGCCATCTTCTCATAGTTTATGCTTATTGCACTTACGTGCTGAAGCCTAACTAGAATCAATTTTTCACATGTCTCTTTCAACTGTCATATAGATCGATGCTGCTGTATTTCTATTTCTGAATGAATTAACTGAAAACAAAATGAAGAGTTCAAGAAAAATATGGTATAGATTCTATAGAATTAGATGTGAGAAAAAGTTTCGAACTCAGCCTCAAATTTGTCGAATCACTAGGCTTGTCTGTGAATAAAATAGATATTAGATAGTTTGTGTCCGAGATTCTGACGTCAAGCTTCCTAGTCCTTTTGGTCTTAGGCACATAACAACACACAGAATGTAAATACTACAGACATTCTTATAAGAAAACAATTTCTATGTATTCTCTATCTCACCAGGGGCAAAAAGAATCGCAAATTTTGCATTGATTCTATGATTAATCTCCGAAGTTTTGAAGAGTTTTTATGAATATAAACACTGTTCAATCTTCTCATTAAACAGCAAATACTCATCTGAACTCAGAAATTTAAAATTCTTTCATTCTTTTATCTTCAAAAGTAATGACTAATGCAGATTTTCTTGAAGTTTCTTGAACTCTTGCTTGTAGGTCCGTCTATTTAATGATTCATCTGTCATTATTCTGTGAGAAAAGAATCACTAGCTCAAGAGCATTTTTTTTAATAGATTAATAATAATAAAAAACATAAACGAAACTGAGGGCAAACAGTGGTAGATATTTCCTTTTTCACACATATTTATGAGACAACATATGCATCATATTTTAGTTTTAAAAAATAATTTTACTTATTTTTAATTATTAAGAGAGAAACTATTAAAGTGATGAAAAAGACAGAACTGTCGAAATTAACTTTCATGTACAAAAAATTTCAATTGGTATTTGTGTAATTTCTCTTGCCCATTACACATATGGGCATGGACCACCCTTTGTCCACAGAGTTTTCTCAATCAATGGTAACCAACAAAACAATATGATTTTGGAGAATAGAATTGTCAAATTAATTAAAGTCGCCACCTTCTCAAATTAATTAAAAATATAATCATGATTTAATTAATACTAAACCTCCTTCTATTTCTTTATTAATTCTTTATGACGCTCTCTCACGCTCCCTGTATTCGCTTTTACTTTCAGGTTTCAGCCACTGCTGCTGTTTTCAGTTCTTCGATCTTCATGTTTCAACAGCTCTCTTGTTAAATTAAATCATAAACTTTACCCGTTTTCTGATGTAACCCTAATTTGATCCAAATGACCAACTTGTAAATTCTCAATTTTTAATTCCGTTTTGTAAGAACTTCAACTCCAAAGTCTGGAACAAACAATGGCAGCCCCGGATCCGTCCAAAAAAGTGGCTGATAGATATCTGAAGCGTGAAGTTCTTGGTGAAGGTACCTATGGAGTTGTGTACAAAGCCATTGACACCCACGTAATCCCCCGAAACTTTCTTCTTCAATTATGCGAATTCGAGACTGAAGAGTCAATTTTTCCCCTATTCTCTTTTATGGTTTGTGAGAATTGGGTCTTTAGTTTCATTTGGTGCAAAGAAAATTGCTGAATCCGAGTAAAATAGATATTCGTATGTGGCCTTAGACATGTAGGAAGAAAAGATGCCTTATTTGCTTTGGGTTCCTGACTTTAATTCGAGGTGTTTATTTTAACAATTTATTTTTGGGGTTTGTTACTTTATCATGTCTGCTTCAAACAATTATTTAGGAAGAAGCGTATGCTGTTTGTCATTGGGTATGAGGAAGTCGTACTTCTTAACTTTTGTCTAGTGATCGTATGAATACAAGGGGTGAGAGCTGAAAACTTCTTAATTAGTTTCAGCATAGGTTTGGTATAGTTATGACTTTTTCTTTGTGTAACTTGCAAAAATGTATCCAGTAGGTATGCTTACTTTAATGTCTCGATGGACAAGCAATTTGTTATGAAAGTGATAATACTATTATGATGTGGTATTCTTATAGAGATGAATTCATTGTGTTGACAGACAGGACAGACAGTTGCAATTAAGAAAATTCGACTTGGCAAGCAGAAAGAAGGGGTAAATTTTACAGCTCTTAGAGAAATAAAGCTTCTTAAAGAGCTTAAGGATCCTAATATTGTTGAATTGATAGATGCATTCCCACATAAAGGGAATTTGCATCTTGTGTTTGAATTCATGGAGACGGACCTTGAAGCTGTCATACGAGATCGAAATATTTTTCTTTCACCGGCTGATACAAAATCTTACCTTCAAATGACGATAAAAGGTCTTGCTTATTGCCACAAGAAATGGGTTTTGCATAGGTACCATATTTTTTTTTTATTTAGTGATTGCTCGTTACAAAGTTGTTACTTGACGCAAATTCTGAGTTCAAAAGTTTGCTTTCACATTTTCAGGGATATGAAGCCAAATAATTTGTTGATAGGATCTAATGGACAGCTAAAACTTGCAGATTTTGGTTTAGCACGAATGTTTGGAAGCCCAGATAGAAGGTTCACTCATCAGGTTCGCTTCTTTTCCTACAATACGTGAACTTCAAAGTCAAATCATTCCGTTAATGATCGTACTTGCTGCCAATTATTTTGCATTAAGTAATGAAGTTTCCTATAATAATGATTAGAGTTTGCAGAATTGGAAAGTAATATACCTTATAGTCAGGCATGACTTGTATGATGATTTAGTTTGAATTTGTAGCAATCCTTGGACCGTAATTAAGTAAATATTTACCTTGAAATCTTTTGTTATTATTGCCTGAACAAAAGGTGAAGCCTTGGACAAAATGGTTAGGTTGTTGCCTTGTGATTTGGTAGTCACTGGTTCTGGTCATGGAGACAGCCTCTTTGCACACTGGACTGAGGATTCATATGCATATATGATATATCTAATCAAACCCTCAACCCACCTAATGGTAGGAACTCATGCATTGAGATGCCCTTTCTTACATTGCTTTTAAATTTAGGAACCGGGAGAAGATAATTGAAGATCCAAACTTTGGAGCATTGAAGTGGAAGTATACTAAATTCTGCTGAATCTTTTCTAGGATTGTGGTTCTCTATGGTAACTGAATATTGTGGTGACATTCATGGCGTAAAAGTGCTACCTGCATGTTATTGAACATGATTCATCTTATGTTGTGTATTTTTCACTTTTTATTGGTGGATTGGGTTTCTAGTTTCTGTACAGATAATACTTATGCTTATCATATATGCACGAATAGGTTTTTGCTCGGTGGTATAGAGCTCCTGAGCTATTATTTGGTGCCAAGCAATATGGCTCTGGGGTTGATGTTTGGGCTTCAGCTTGTATATTTGCTGAACTTCTTCTCCGTCGACCCTTTTTGCAGGTAAGAAAATTTTATGATTGATGTTCTGAAGTAGATGATGAGCTTTGACATAAAGTGTAGTCCATTTATTTGAACATGATATTCGTTTAACTTTATCAAATAGTTGAAATTCAGTTTTTTCTGTCTGAAAATTTTAAATCATTCAACTGTTTCTACTGAGCTTGAATATGGTCCTGAAGCTGTAGGCTAAGATTTTTGTATTCATTATTTTTATTTGAGCTTCCATTTATTCCTTCTCTATATTTTGTGACTATCTTGTTTTAATACAATTTCCAAGATAGTTCATTGCATTGATTGAATTTCTTCATTTTCATTTTGTATTTAAATAATTAATCATGTTTATTATTGTTTTTTCACTAGTTTGTTACTATCATTTGGTAGGGTACAAGTGACATTGATCAATTAGGAAAGATCTTTTCGGCATTTGGCACTCCAACAGCTTCTCAGTGGCCTGATATGGTATACCTGCCTGATTACGTCGAATACCAATATGTTCCTGCACCCCCTCTGCGTTCTTTGTTTCCGATGGCTACTGATGATGCTTTAGATTTGTTATCAAAGATGTTTACATATGATCCAAAAGCTAGAATTTCAGTGCAGCAGGCACTAGAGCATAGGTACCTGCCTTCAGCATCTCATTAAGACACCAATAAACTTCTTTTCTCCATAATTAATCTCTCTTCTTCCACTTTAGGTACTTTTCTTCTGCTCCTCTGCCTTCAGATCCAGACAAGCTCCCTAGACCTGCTCCTAAGAGGGAATCTAAGGCTTCTGATTTCAATTTACAGGAGGGTCCTACTGTATTATCACCTCCAAGGAAGTCTAGGAGAGTGATGCCAGAACGGGATGGGTTTGAAGGAAATTCCCAACAAGCAGATAAGGTTGATGGCGGTTTTGGTGATTTCAGACAGACAACTGATGATAATTCAGGCAAGAATGAATCAGCTCCAATGTCTGTAGATTTTTCTATCTTTGGATTAAAACCTCCAAATAGACCTACAATTAACAGGTATAATAGTATTGATCGTCTAATCAATTCAAAAGGGCCTAATAGTTTGTAAATTTATCAGAGTCAAACATAAAATTATCCTGCTAAGTTCACTGGTATATGAAGACAAAAAGGCGAGGCTTATGTAGAACCATATTAAAAGTATCTTAGAATATTTTTCTGACGAAGTTGCCAATTGACAATGATAAAGTTTTAAGATGCTACGACACTATATGTTCAATGCTAGCACAATATGTTGTAGTTCCTAGGTAGTGGAAGAATGTGTCAGTTGTTCCTTATCTATTAGTTTCTACATGTAAATGGTGTTATTTAACTTTGGTTCCTTTGTTTTGTTCTGCAGTGCTGATAGAACACATTTAAAAAGAAAATTAGATCTAGAATTTCAACAGCCAGAATGAATATTCTGTAGCCAGCCAAGTCACACAAGCTTATGGAGGATAAAATACATTTGAAGAAAAGTGGTGAATTCTCGATGGTTTGATAGAATGTCATTCTTTATCTGTCTCTGTGTGCCGCTACAACAAATATGTAACTGAAGAAGTCACCGAAGATTAGTTGTAGTTCAGATACATAAAAGTAACTGCTATAGAAAAAAAAAGCTTAGAATATCACACATTCATTCTGGTTCCGCTTGTACATTTTTGCTTTTTACATTTTCAGAGAACTTGTATACTTGAGTTCATGGAAAACATTAAAGTGTGAGGGAATATTCTCGAGCTGTCACTGTATGTGGCGCTTGAAAAACAATAAGTTTTGGGGGAACTTCATTTAAACATATATTTATTATTGAACATAAGAAATTTTATATTCATGTGGAGGAGTGTGTATTCCGACTGTGTGCTTTAGACAGTTGAATTCCAATTTTAATTTGTTGAATGATTTTTACCTTTACTTTTTGATGTTTTTTATATTCATTATGACGGTTGACTCAGTTGATTCAATGGTGATGATGGCTATAATATTTCTGATGCTTCTGTTTGGGTTTAAATTTAGCTGAAGTTTTTGATGGGGATGGGATGGGCATGAAAGAAATTGGTGGATGTTATGTAGGAGGCTACTTGACAGTATTACAACTTTATTAGTTGAAGATTACTGAAAAACATGTGAGATCTTTATTTCATTAGTTACATTTACGATTTCATGATTTTCAAAAAGAAAAAAAAAAATTGATAATAGCGTGTTTGAAAATAAATGTTAACAATTCTTTGTTGAAATCATGATGGAATTCATTCAGAATTAAATAGTCATTTTGAGTGGTTATTGGCTCTTCCATTGCAATTACAATGTTCAAAAGTAATCTAAATGAAAGTTTCCTTACTCTTTATATTCCATGGTTCTTCCTTTCAGAGCTTTCGTTCCAGTGATCAGTTCTATGGCTGCAGGTTTTAAGATCAGCATGATTAAACCTATAACCGTAGATTGGCTAATGACCGAGTCGTGCTTGGTTATGGTATTTTGTGCATAAATGATTAAATCCTCCTTCCATATACAAAGCCATATTTGTTGGAAGATTTATTGACAACTATAACCACAAAACAAACAATTACCNCGCTCTCTCACGCTCCCTGTATTCGCTTTTACTTTCAGGTTTCAGCCACTGCTGCTGTTTTCAGTTCTTCGATCTTCATGTTTCAACAGCTCTCTTGTTAAATTAAATCATAAACTTTACCCGTTTTCTGATGTAACCCTAATTTGATCCAAATGACCAACTTGTAAATTCTCAATTTTTAATTCCGTTTTGTAAGAACTTCAACTCCAAAGTCTGGAACAAACAATGGCAGCCCCGGATCCGTCCAAAAAAGTGGCTGATAGATATCTGAAGCGTGAAGTTCTTGGTGAAGGTACCTATGGAGTTGTGTACAAAGCCATTGACACCCACGTAATCCCCCGAAACTTTCTTCTTCAATTATGCGAATTCGAGACTGAAGAGTCAATTTTTCCCCTATTCTCTTTTATGGCTTGTGAGAATTGGGTCTTTAGTTTCATTTGGTGCAAAGAAAATTGCTGAATCCGAGTAAAATAGATATTCGTATGTGGCCTTAGACATGTAGGAAGAAAAGATGCCTTATTTGCTTTGGGTTCCTGACTTTAATTCGAGGTGTTTATTTTAACAATTTATTTTTGGGGTTTGTTACTTTATCATGTCTGCTTCAAACAATTATTTAGGAAGAAGCGTATGCTGTTTGTCATTGGGTATGAGGAAGTCGTACTTCTTAACTTTTGTCTAGTGATCGTATGAATACAAGGGGTGAGAGCTGAAAACTTCTTAATTAGTTTCAGCATAGGTTTGGTATAGTTATGACTTTTTCTTTGTGTAACTTGCAAAAATGTATCCAGTAGGTATGCTTACTTTAATGTCTCGATGGACAAGCAATTTGTTATGAAAGTGATAATACTATTATGATGTGGTATTCTTATAGAGATGAATTCATTGTGTTGACAGACAGGACAGACAGTTGCAATTAAGAAAATTCGACTTGGCAAGCAGAAAGAAGGGGTAAATTTTACAGCTCTTAGAGAAATAAAGCTTCTTAAAGAGCTTAAGGATCCTAATATTGTTGAATTGATAGATGCATTCCCACATAAAGGGAATTTGCATCTTGTGTTTGAATTCATGGAGACGGACCTTGAAGCTGTCATACGAGATCGAAATATTTTTCTTTCACCGGCTGATACAAAATCTTACCTTCAAATGACGATAAAAGGTCTTGCTTATTGCCACAAGAAATGGGTTTTGCATAGGTACCATATTTTTTTTTTATTTAGTGATTGCTCGTTACAAAGTTGTTACTTGACGCAAATTCTGAGTTCAAAAGTTTGCTTTCACATTTTCAGGGATATGAAGCCAAATAATTTGTTGATAGGATCTAATGGACAGCTAAAACTTGCAGATTTTGGTTTAGCACGAATGTTTGGAAGCCCAGATAGAAGGTTCACTCATCAGGTTCGCTTCTTTTCCTACAATACGTGAACTTCAAAGTCAAATCATTCCGTTAATGATCGTACTTGCTGCCAATTATTTTGCATTAAGTAATGAAGTTTCCTATAATAATGATTAGAGTTTGCAGAATTGGAAAGTAATATACCTTATAGTCAGGCATGACTTGTATGATGATTTAGTTTGAATTTGTAGCAATCCTTGGACCGTAATTAAGCAAATATTTACCTTGAAATCTTTTGTTATTATTGCCTGAACAAAAGGTGAAGCCTTGGACAAAATGGTTAGGTTGTTGCCTTGTGATTTGGTAGTCACAGGTTCTGGTCATGGAGACAGCCTCTTTGCACACAGGACTGAGGATTCATATGCATATATGATATATCTAATCAAACCCTCAACCCACCTAATGGTAGGAACTCATGCATTGAGATGCCCTTTCTTACATTGCTTTTAAATTTAGGAACCGGGAGAAGATAATTGAAGATCCAAACGTTGGAGCATTGAAGTGGAAGTATACTAAATTCTGCTGAATCTTTTCTAGGATTGTGGTTCTCTATGGTAACTGAATATTGTGGTGACATTCATGGCGTAAAAGTGCTACCTGCATGTTATTGAACATGATTCATCTTATGTTGTGTATTTTTCACTTTTTATTGGTGGATTGGGTTTCTAGTTTCTGTACAGATAACACTTATGCTTATCATATATGCACGAATAGGTTTTTGCTCGGTGGTATAGAGCTCCTGAGCTATTATTTGGTGCCAAGCAATATGGCTCTGGGGTTGATGTTTGGGCTTCAGCTTGTATATTTGCTGAACTTCTTCTCCGTCGACCCTTTTTGCAGGTAAGAAAATTTTATGATTGATGTTCTGAAGTAGATGATGAGCTTTGACATAAAGTGTAGTCCATTTATTTGAACATGATATTCGTTTAACTTTATCAAATAGTTGAAATTCAGTTTTTTCTGTCTGAAAATTTTAAATCATTCAACTGTTTCTACTGAGCTTGAATATGGTCCTGAAGCTGTAGGCTAAGATTTTTGTATTCATTATTTTTATTTGAGCTTCCATTTATTCCTTCTCTATATTTTGTGACTATCTTGTTTTAATACAATTTCCAAGATAGTTCATTGCATTGATTGAATTTCTTCATTTTCATTTTGTATTTAAATAATTAATCATGTTTATTATTGTTTTTTCACTAGTTTGTTACTATCATTTGGTAGGGTACAAGTGACATTGATCAATTAGGAAAGATCTTTTCGGCATTTGGCACTCCAACAGCTTCTCAGTGGCCTGATATGGTATACCTGCCTGATTACGTCGAATACCAATATGTTCCTGCACCCCCTCTGCGTTCTTTGTTTCCGATGGCTACTGATGATGCTTTAGATTTGTTATCAAAGATGTTTACATATGATCCAAAAGCTAGAATTTCAGTGCAGCAGGCACTAGAGCATAGGTACCTGCCTTCAGCATCTCATTAAGACACCAATAAACTTCTTTTCTCCATAATTAATCTCTCTTCTTCCACTTTAGGTACTTTTCTTCTGCTCCTCTGCCTTCAGATCCAGACAAGCTCCCTAGACCTGCTCCTAAGAGGGAATCTAAGGCTTCTGATTTCAATTTACAGGAGGGTCCTACTGTATTATCACCTCCAAGGAAGTCTAGGAGAGTGATGCCAGAACGGGATGGGTTTGAAGGAAATTCCCAACAAGCAGATAAGGTTGATGGCGGTTTTGGTGATTTCAGACAGACAACTGATGATAATTCAGGCAAGAATGAATCAGCTCCAATGTCTGTAGATTTTTCTATCTTTGGATTAAAACCTCCAAATAGACCTACAATTAACAGGTATAATAGTATTGATCGTCTAATCAATTCAAAAGGGCCTAATAGTTTGTAAATTTATCAGAGTCAAACATAAAATTATCCTGCTAAGTTCACTGGTATATGAAGACAAAAAGGCGAGGCTTATGTAGAACCATATTAAAAGTATCTTAGAATATTTTTCTGACGAAGTTGCCAATTGACAATGATAAAGTTGTAAGATGCTACGACACTATATGTTCAATGCTAGCACAATATGTTGTAGTTCCTAGGTAGTGGAAGAATGTGTCAGTTGTTCCTTATCTATTAGTTTCTACATGTAAATGGTGTTATTTAACTTTGGTTCCTTTGTTTTGTTCTGCAGTGCTGATAGAACACATTTAAAAAGAAAATTAGATCTAGAATTTCAACAGCCAGAATGAATATTCTGTAGCCAGCCAAGTCACACAAGCTTATGGAGGATAAAATACATTTGAAGAAAAGTGGTGAATTCTCGATGGTTTGATAGAATGTCATTCTTTATCTGTCTCTGTGTGCCGCTACAACAAATATGTAACTGAAGAAGTCACCGAAGATTAGTTGTAGTTCAGATACATAAAAGTAACTGCTATAGAAAAAAAAAGCTTAGAATATCACACATTCATTCTGGTTCCGCTTGTACATTTTTGCTTTTTACATTTTCAGAGAACTTGTATACTTGAGTTCATGGAAAACATTAAAGTGTGAGGGAATATTCTCGAGCTGTCACTGTATGTGGCGCTTGAAAAACAATAAGTTTTGGGGGAACTTCATTTAAACATATATTTATTATTGAACATAAGAAATTTTATATTCATGTGGAGGAGTGTGTATTCCGACTGTGTGCTTTAGACAGTTGAATTCCAATTTTAATTTGTTGAATGATTTTTACCTTTACTTTTTGATGTTTTTTATATTCATTATGACGGTTGACTCAGTTGATTCAATGGTGATGATGGCTATAATATTTCTGATGCTTCTGTTTGGGTTTAAATTTAGCTGAAGTTTTTGATGGGGATGGGATGGGCATGAAAGAAATTGGTGGATGTTATGTAGGAGGCTACTTGACAGTATTACAACTTTATTAGTTGAAGATTACTGAAAAACATGTGAGATCTTTATTTCATTAGTTACATTTACGATTTCATGATTTTCAAAAAGAAAAAAAAAAATTGATAATAGCGTGTTTGAAAATAAATGTTAACAATTCTTTGTTGAAATCATGATGGAATTCATTCAGAATTAAATAGTCATTTTGAGTGGTTATTGGCTCTTCCATTGCAATTACAATGTTCAAAAGTAATCTAAATGAAAGTTTCCTTACTCTTTATATTCCATGGTTCTTCCTTTCAGAGCTTTCGTTCCAGTGATCAGTTCTATGGCTGCAGGTTTTAAGATCAGCATGATTAAACCTATAACCGTAGATTGGCTAATGACCGAGTCGTGCTTGGTTATGGTATTTTGTGCATAAATGATTAAATCCTCCTTCCATATACAAAGCCATATTTGTTGGAAGATTTATTGACAACTATAACCACAAAACAAACAATTACCAGAAATAGTCATGGAATTCATTTTGAAATAAATATTTGGGTTTTTTTTACATATCTAGACAAAAATATTTGAAATAAATATCTGCGCATTTAGACAAGTCCTGAGGATCAGACTACTTTGTATAAGGAAGTCGTACCTCTTACACATCCTGACACAATAGTTAAAGGTGAAGTCGTACACTTTCAAAACGATTTTAGATTCTAATAATCAATTATCAGATATTGTAATAGATTATACAATGCTAAAATCGTGTAGGGGACATAAGTTCACTTATAATCGATTACACTCCTACTCTAATCAATTACAAGAAGTATAAATTGACATAAACTCTTCGGTAATTGCTTACCAAGACTGTGTAATAGCAAAAATAATTCTAGTAATTGATTATAGGGCATTTGGTAATTGATTACCAAAGAATTTAAGTATTAAAACAATATGAAGACAATTAGGAAGATTTTTCGAACATTTTATATCAAATAAAAATATAGTTTGTTTTGAATTCAAAGCTTTTTTACTATTCTATGAAAGGCATATAAAAAAATGTATTTAAGTTTAAATTGTTTCTTAGTTTAATTTTTAAACAATATGAAATTGTTGAATATATTGAAAGAAAAATTTCAAATAACAAACAGAAAATTAAAGCCTCGAAGACAAAAAAAAAAAACTAAGAAAAGAAAATGTAGCCTTGAGTTAAAAACAAAGAACAAAAAAACTTCAACCTTCTACGTAACATATTTTTTGAATAAAAATACTACTATATCTTTTAAATTTTAATTAAAACTTTCTTTTATACAATATATTACCGTCAATAACGTCGATAACATTTTAAAAATATCACCAATACCAATAATATATTTTATATACCAATATGATATCTTAATTTATTTATATATTTTTAAGTCAGGAGAAACAAATTTGAAGTTTTTAACCATATCTTTAAGACGCAGATGAGTTATTAGTTAAAAATGTATTTTAATCATATTTTCAATTAATTTATTTGCATCAAAATGATCATTTAATAAGACGAAGATCTAATTTTAATTTGCGATTTAAATTAAAATTGAAATATGAAGCGCGAGAATCAAAACAATTTAATATCTGGCGGTAAAATAGAGTTCTGTGTATTTAAATATCAGTGTCTCATTACACTTCTCACCACCACAGAGCAAAGACAACGCTCATCCTTTTCTCTCTTCTGTGCGTCTTCCTACACTCTTTCTCTTTTTTTTTTTCTATTTCTTTTTCGATTCTGCTATTTTCAGAGTTTATGTTTTTCTTGATAAATTCTTTGACCTGATTTAACCCATCTTTTGATTTTGTCTTAGTTTTCTTCTGTGTCTCAATCATTCTTGCCAAACATAGTCTACATTCTGCTGTTTCATGGCTGTGAAACTACGGTATTTGGCTGTGTAGAATTGAAAATTGGGTTCAATTTTCAGATTCTTCTATTGGTAAGCATTATCAACATTCTACTGTAAATTCTCACTGAGATTGTTTTTTGGTCTTGTACTATGTATGACTTTCTTTAATCTAAACTTGTTTAATCAGAGAATATCTGTCTCTTCCTTCTTGCCGATTCTGGATTGAAGTCGCATGCCTCCCTCAACTCTGTTCATGTAACATTTTCTAATCTTCCTCTGCCATTTGCAATGTTTCTTGTTTATATTCTAATCTGTGTTTATATTTGCCATTTTTCCATCTCTTTCTATTGATATATGCAAGTTTTGTTGATATTTATGAACGAGTGCTTGTTCTTTGAACTTGATGGTTTTATGTTCCTTCGTCAATTACCGATACACGACTTTATTTTTTTCAGAACATGAGAAACATAATATTATCGAACCAGACCATTGACCCAGAAAAACAGAGGTTACATTTGGTTTCCAGAAAGAAAACATGTCTCTTTTACTATATTTTCTTGTGGCTTCTTTCTTTCCTTGTCTTCTTTTTCTTTTTAGTAATTTCTTTTACCTTATTTAATTATGATCTTATATATTGATAATCACAATCTTGTTTCAAGCTAGTAAGGTTTATCACGATTTAGTCAATTACTCTGTATGGCCTGCAAAAAGAAGAATTAAAGAAAACAGAAAAGATAATTAATTATTAGAAAAATGTTCTTGAACTCCAATTTCTCAAATAACATAACACCAGTTATTATTATAGTTTTTTTAACATATTTTCTATTATTATTATTTTAAATTCTTTTATAGTTTT